CCCCTCAGACATATATATGTGAAGTGAAAGAAATGATATCTAAAACTGTAAAAATACACCGTGCTTTTGCTGTTTTTGTGGAAAAGATTTTTTTTTAAAGGCGAAAGTAAGATGTTAAACTCTTAAATATTTTAGTGTCGTGTGGGCGTTGGTACCTTTATAACCAGAAAGATAACGTTTAAATCGGGATTTGCTCCTGCCCTTCCGTCAGTGAATGGGGCTGTCTTGTCTGGGTGCTGTGTCCGCACTCCCTTGCATCAAGTGGAAAAGCCTGTTTGAGTGGCCGGTACTGTTACACTGATGGATTTGAAACTTTAAAGGAGAGGTAGCTCCTAACTGTCAATAACGGACTTTTGGAAGGCATCTCAACTTCGAACTCTACCCTCATGTATAGGGAGTTTAAATCTAGTGATAATAGGCTTGCTTTCTTAGGTACTTTTCCTACAGCCTGTCTACCCCGGCACCCTGGTAATCCAGGGATAATCCCCAAGGATAATCTCCCAGGGGTCTACAGACTATAGATTGAAAACAACTGACTTAAGGTGTGAGGAAGGCAACCTTGCTAATTGGTTTGCTACACCTTCCATCTCAAATGAGGTTTCACTGGTAGAAATCAGTGGTTGATGTTTGGAAATAGTAAAATTGGTGATGATTTTATACCTATTCACGAGCAAATGCTTTAGAAATGCAAGAGTCTTGTGGATTGTGACACTAAAAACAAGGTCTTAACACTGTGGTTAAGTGGAATTCTTAAATTAGAAGCCCAAATTCTATGTGGGTTATCTTGGAGAGATTATCTTTGGAATCTGGAAGAATCATAGGATCCTAGAATGGTTTGGGTTGGAAGGGACCTTAAAGATCATCTAGTTCCATGGGCAGGGACACCTCCCACTAGCCCAGGTTGCTCAAAGCCTCATCCAGCCTGGCCTTGAACCCCTCCAGGGATGGGGCATCCACAGCTTCTCTGGGCAACCTGGGCCACTGCCTCACCACCTGCACGGGAAAAAAATTCTTCCTGATATCTAAATCCTACTCTCTTTCAGTTTAAAACCGTTACCCCTCATCCTATCACTACACTCCCTGATAAGAGTCCCTCCCCAGTTGGTTAAGGGATCCAGTGGAAGTACTGAAAGGTGTATGGAGATGCACAGTGACTTAAAGGTCCATATTTGGGGAATGCAGTTGAGATTCCCAAGTATTGAGCCGCCTTGCCTATGGTGGTTTAGACTTTAATTAGGTCAGTTCTTTATTTTGTAAGGTGTAAATCAATACTCCTGCTTGTGATCCAATAGGTCAGTGGTTTGCATCCTCACCAGGATGTAGGAGAGCAAGGTGCACACTTCCCAACCTAATTGGGAGAGGCTTCATCATGTGACTGGAAAATGCCTGGTCTCACAGATTACCACCTAAAAGATCTCTTTTGGATATTGAACTGACAGTGCAACAATTATGTCAATTCTTAAGCAATTTTTTTGTAGACTTACGAAGAGGTATCTGAGCATCAGTATTAAATCTTTTATTTGCTTATTTTTTTTTAGCTTGCTACCCAAATTTGTAGTCACCATAGATAACTTCCTGTGTCTGATCTAACTTCTATATCTTGTACGTGAAAATCGTGGTGATATAGCATGGTCCATGAGTTTCATCTGTTTGTTTCATGGACAAAGAATTGTCCCAAAATTGTAGGGGATGACATGGTTAGAGACAGAAAAAATGCTTAAACAACTCATGCTAACTGTGATTAAATGATATTGTAATGATGGCTTTCAAGCATGATCTGACTGTTTATTTCTAAAGCGATATTGAGGCTATGTCTCTTTTATTGTCTTTCCTTTTTTTTTTTTTTTTTAATAAACATAGAGCTTGCTTTCTAAAGCACAAGGAATAGGCTCCAGCTCAGTCAAACTTCGAGGAGGTACTCTGTTTATGAATGTTGGGAAATTGGAGAAGCAAGAAGAAGATCTTAGACAAACACCTCATGTGAACATCAATCCCTTCACTCCCGATTCCATGTTCCTTCACAACTCTGAAGGAAAATGTCGTAGGAGGAAGAGAACACACTGGAATGAGTGAGTAACTTGTATCTTCCTTTGCTAAGCTTATCTTTAGAATTGCTTTTAGCTGCAAAAGTTTTGTTACAAATTGCTCCTATGAAAGTATTTTTCTTTGCAAATCTGTTAGTGATGCTTAATGTGGCTTTTAAAGTATCTGCTTTATGCATGATACTATGAAATAACCATTTAGCACTAGATCTTTTGATTAGTGTACAGAGAGGACAATTAGGCTGTGTCCTGACTGAATGAGCTATGCACACAGTCTTTTCTTGAGGGAGAAACACGCTAAATAGTAGTATGAAACATGAAGAAAGAAATGACAAACATACTAGCATGGTACCTTTATTTTATGAGTTTGTGCTTACGGATGTCTAGAGTTCAATTAGTTAAACTAAGGTAGAATGGGAGAATTAGATCTTCAAAAAATCAACAGCTGCTAGACTTTGGTTTTAAGTTTACTTATGCTGTATTATTTCTGCAAAAATAACTGGTGTGAATTTCAGCTCTTGTGGAGAAGACATGGAGGCAAGTGATGGAGAGCTTGAAAATGAGACTATTAGACCAGCTAAGGTAATTAATCTTTGAAACTTGATATTAAGTTTGGCAGTTTGTGTATCTGCAGATCCAAGTATTTTCCTTTTTAATCTTTGCAGAGGATAACAATAACAGAAAGTAATATGAAGTCACGGTATGCAACTGAATTTCATGAGTTGGAGAAGATTGGATCTGGTGAATTCGGTTCTGTGTTTAAATGTGTGAAGAGGCTTGATGGCTGTATCTATGCAATAAAGCGATCAAAGAAACCCTTAGCTGGCTCAGTGGATGAGTGAGTATTCCCTGCTATTAAAAGTCACCTCTTGGTGCTTTTTCCTCCCATGTCTCTTTGTATTGGTGTCTAGAGAAGGCATTGAAGAGAAAATTATAAATATACATGAATTAAATGTAAAACAGAGAATTTGAAGTCATTGTGTTTTTTGGTTTTTTTTCTGAATACTGGGGAGGAAAAGCTACTTGACCTTTCTTCTAGCAGTTGTTTGTCCCCATATTCTGTGTGGAAACAGATTGTTCTCATCTGGAAAGTAAGAATAATGCTGACTTGCATTAATGGCAGGAGGTACTATATGAAAGGGAAGTAGTATTCCCTACTAGGTCCTCATCCTTGTCATTTGAGTGACATACAGATTAGTTAAGTCAGTTTTGGAGGATTTTTTGGCATTTGTGCATGAGCCTGCAATTCATGACTTTTCCCCCTGCTGTTCTAATAGTTATAATACAAAACTCCGCAAGTTTGAGTTGGTCAAAATTGCGTACCAGACTTGCACACAAGAAGTTAGGAATGTTGAGTTCAGTCATATTTCTGGCTTATGATCATCATTAGTGTGCTCTTTTCTTAAAACTTATGTGATGCTTCTCAAAGTTTGCTGCTGCTGCATGGAAAGTATGTAATGGAAGTGGCAGCTCCCTCAAGAGCTATCTGTAACAAAACCTGTTTTGCTGTTTCATATACTTAGTCTTTTAATACAATGTAAATTATTTTAGCTGTTGGGATATAAATACAAATCCACCTTAAGCTGCCACAGAACTGAATATGAAGATTTTAATTAGAAACCTGAGCTGGCATGATATAATAAGTGTTTTCTATCAAGCTGAAATTGGACTAATTTCACCTCATAATGTTGTTGTGTGCTGTTATTTTTTGTGACTGTAAAAGGCAAAATGCTTTAAGAGAGGTCTATGCACATGCAGTTCTGGGACAGCATTCTCATGTAGTAAGATACTACTCTGCGTGGGCAGAAGATGATCATATGCTTATACAGAATGAATATTGCAATGGTAAGTAAAGTTTATCGCTTGTTCTGAACTTGCTTTCAAAAAATCTAATTTTTTAACATATGCAGGTATCTCTACAAATCCCTAGCACTAGTTAGGAATTGATTGCCCTACATGTAGCTTATTGCATCGTCTTAAATGTGTCTGATGTTTGTTTCTGTTGGAAAAGGCATATCAGATATATGAAGCACAAGCCATATAAAATTGCAAAGTCTTAAGTGTTCAAGAATATTCAAAGTACAGTGAGGCATTTGTGAGCAGCAGAAGTGTTCTTTCTTCTCTACAATAGCACAAAGTGGAACAGAGAAAGTTAACAAAATTTCCTTTAAAAGGGAGGTAGACTTGATTTCTGAAGCTTTTTCCTATGACTGATACCCTGACAGAGATTTGGAAGAGGGAGAGAGATCTTTTCCCTTGTGTTGATATCCTGTTAATTTGCCCAGTAACTACAGCAGAAAAATAATTTTATTATATTACATGGCTATAAAGAGGGGATACAGTACCAGATTTTACACTTCCTGTCTATCATCGGCAAGTTCTTGGTGATATATTCACTGTTAATTTTGGAAGCCAGTTGTCATTACTTTGTCAACTGTTTGATGTAAAAAAAATTAGTTGTTTTCTTTAATGTTGTTTTAGGCGGCAGTTTAGCAGATGCTATAAGTGAAAATTACAGGAATATGCGTTATTTTACTGAACCAGAACTGAAGGACCTGCTACTTCAAGTGGCTCGAGGCTTAAAGTACATTCATTCAATGTCACTGGTACACATGGATATCAAACCTAGTAAGTTTGTAAACTGCTTTACTCTGTATTGACAACTTCCTCAGTTAATTTAATGTGCTGTAGAAAAAAGAGCAGTTAGCCACACCTTACTAACTGTAAAATCTTCACTGAAGTTCTAAATAGCAGTACAAAGATGTCAGTTACAAAATTGGCTAGCAGACTTAAACTGTTGTTGAGTTTATCTTGGGTCCTTTTTGTGTAATTGACTCTACTTGCATAACACTTGGCTCCCCTCCCAGCAGAGGGGCCAAGGCGAGTAAGTTATAGTTTCTTGCTCTACGAACTGGGTATGTATACAACTAAAACTTCAGTGTGGCTAAAGCAAACTTTTGTGGAACTAGATTAAGTTGAAAATGGACAGAAATGTGGGTTTTTAGCAATTATGCTCTTTTTCAGGTAATATTTTCATATCTAGGACATCAGTCCCAAGTACAACTTCAGAAGAAGGTGATGATGATGACTGGTCACCTGATAGAGTCATATTTAAAATAGGTGAGAAGCAGCGCACTTGTGCTCAAAGAATTGCATTCTCTATTTGTCTTCTGAAAAATAACTTTCTTTTATTTTTTGCAGGTGACCTTGGTCATGTAACTCGAGTATCTAGTCCACAAGTGGAGGAAGGTGATAGCCGTTTTCTTGCAAATGAAGTCCTACAAGAGGTAACTGTTCTGTTTGTGGAAAATAGTGATGTTAGGTCTGCATACTGTTTTCTTTAGAGTAATGAACTGCAGTCTACTGCCTCCTTGCTAGACGAGAAACTTCCGGAATGGTATTCCCTTGAACACTGGTTGTACTTAAATAGGAATGTAATGTTGTCGATGTGTTCAGTGCTGAATAGTTTAGCTGTCTGTAAGATTTCTTCTTACACTGAGTGGTACGTGTAGTGAATTTATTTTTCTTTATTTTTCAAGAACTACACTCATTTGCCAAAAGCAGATATTTTTGCTCTTGCTCTGACTGTTGTCTGTGCTGCTGGGGCTGAACCACTTCCATCTAATGGGGACCAATGGCATGAAATTCGGCAAGGAAAACTACCTAGACTACCACAAGTGCTTTCCCAAGAATTACTGGACTTACTAAAAGTAAGAACTCTAGTACTAGTGGCTCATTGATTTGTGTAATATACTGTATTACTGGCCTTAACTAGCATACCTTATTTTCTTTTTTCCAAGGTTATGATTAATCCTGATCCAGAGAAAAGGCCTTCAGCTGTGGCACTAGTCAAGCATTCAGTGCTCCTCTCTGCCGCAAAAAAGAGCGCAGAGCAGCTCCGGATAGAACTGAATGCTGAAAAATTCAAAAACTCGCTCTTGCAGAAGTAAGTAGTTCCATGGGATCCTTAAATAGAACTTAATTTCTCATAGGTTTTCATATGATCGTAGAGTGAAGATAAAACAGGACTGTCCTTGATTCTGCATGAGGTCCACAAATCCGTATGTGTGTACGTACCTGAGAGTACAAAGTGGGTTATGTAACTTTAAATGGAACTTTCTCCATAGAAGGAATTTCTTGAACACTCTAAGGAATCTCAACTAATCTACTGATATGCAAGGCATACAAAATATCACAATTTTAAAAAAATGTTTCAAGCATAATGCATGTTTTTGTGACGTACATAGTGTAACTTGTATCTATATTATTTGAGTCCGTGTTTTCCTAGGTCATCTGTACATTGAAACATGTTGGAAAATGTGACTTAAATGAGCTGGTTTGAACTTAAATGAAATGGCACATCAGGAATGTTTTTGGACTATAATTTGACTTGTACACAGCAGTTTTATTAGGTTACCAGAGAATCATTTGTATTGGGAGGTCATCTTGTTGTACCCCTTGCTCAAACACTCAACTCTGAATTAAAGCTTTGAGGAAGAGATGCCCTTTAGGAAAGTCTGATTTCTGCTTAAGTTTCAGAGAAAGAGGTAATAAGTTCAGAAGCAATCATCCGAATCCTTCACTGCAGTTAACTTTGCACATATTGTGCATAATAGGCAGGCTTTTATCTGGGAATATAGAACACCGGTTACTTTCTGTCTGGCTTGTTTTGAATGAAGGTGTTAACTTTGCATTTGGATTCTCTCCATTGCTATCTGCTTATCTTGCCATTCCTACAGTCTGAATGTAGCCAGCCTTGCCATTTTAGATGGTTATCTTTGTAATCTTACGAGTTACGCTGACTGCAGAGAGAATTATTCGACAGTTTGTGCAGGTGGCTCAAGGACAGATTTGCTGAGGTAACTTGCTTGTATAAAGACAATATATTTTTGTATTATGTGAAAGGGGGAGTTGGCAAAGCTAATTTGTGAAGACTACTTCTGGCCTGGCAACAATTAAGGTACATCCTTATAAATCCAAGGATGATTTAAAAAGAACACTTATCCACAGCAATTTTTAGTGTTGTGTGGGATAGTGTTCCATAAAATAGTTCAGGTAGGTTGTTGGGTTGTTTTTTTGTTGTTTTGTTTTTTTGTTTATTTTTTTTTAACTTTCTGGCATTTGACCTGTTTAAGATTCCACTTGTGTATGTAAATTATCATCTGTGAAAACAATCCTTGTAAGGAAAAACAGCTTTTCTACTGTGCCAACTTCTTCAGAGGAAGGAAGGATTCAAGGTTAGACTTCTAGGGAAGAATGGAAGCATATTGTAAAACTTAAATTCCTGGTCCATAATGGTATGGTGGGTGGGTGTGCACACGTGTGTGCATTTGTGACTGACATTCAGTCTTTAGGGAAGACAACTGAAAATTGATTGCATTCTCTTGCAGTGAACTTGCACAGTGATGATGTGGGGAGGATTAGATGGGGCAGGAATGTTAATGAATAATACTTGGGTTTACAAGAATGGGAGTAGCTTATTAAACTAAAACAAGTAACTTCAAACTAAATGCAGCTACACCAATATACAGTAAGCTTGTGAAATTTGGTCTTGCTTTGGAGTCCAGATGTGAAGTGAGATTACAAGTACTAGTTCTTAGTGTAGAGAATATTCTTTGAGGGATAGTTTGGGATAGGAGAAGGAAAAGAGTATGGAGGGAATCCTTACATATAGCTATATGTCAGCATTTAAGGAAAGGAGAAAAGGTGTGTGGGGTGCAGAAACCCTTGATAAAGATAACTTTGCTCTTTAGTCAGACTGTTCCGTAGTTTTATGCTGAGTTTTATCATCCTCAGACTGAGTGTTGGTAATTCTCTGAAACAGAAAAGTTGACAGAATGTTGCATGGGACAATGGCCTGTGCTACCTTCAGTGACTCAGCCTTTCAGTTTTGAGCTTAAATTTATACGTTAGGCAAACAAGATTTAGCTGGTGATAAGCTTTTGATGTGAGTATGCAAAAGGAAAAAGATGCTTCCCAAGTTGTCTGTTGCCAGTTACGTTCATATATGTTCATCTCCATGTTTGTCTGTCTGAATCTTCCACAGAAGTTCAGTTGTGGCTGAATGCTTCATTTGCACAAACCTCAGTGATTAGCTCTTCAGTGATTTATCATACAGCTTGTACTAGAAAGTTAACGGCATCCTACTGTTTCTGGTAATTGAAGCATTGAGCTCCTTATTATGCTGGATTTCAAAATCTGACCAAGTTGTGTGAATTTGTTATTTCCTTCCCTTGCTCTTCAAAAGAAAGAACATCCTAGACAAGTAATGAACATCTCAGTTCTGTCCTCTGGGTTGTGAACAGGTGGATGCAATTATAATGGTCTTGGTATGACCTAAATTGACAGCAGATCTTAAGTTCTGAACTGCTGTAATTCATTTGAAACGCTCTTGCTGTGATATGCCTGTAGTCCTTACTGATACCATTGCGTAAGTGTGACTCTCAATGTCTTGCAGAGAGCTGAAGAAGGCACAGATGGCAAAGGCCGCAGCTGAGGAGCGAGCACTGTTCACTGACAGAATGACAACTAGATCTACGACACAAAATAGACCATCTCGACTCATCGTCCGCTCAGTTAGTCTTACTATATACTAACTATGAAGTCTAAAAGAACTACTGAGAATGGCTTATTAGCATCTCTGATGGACTGAAGCCTAGGGAATTGAAGAAAGTGTTCAATTCCTGGTTTCTTGTCCCGTCTTTGATCAGTATCACTAGGTTTTACAGGAATTGCTTCTGGGTTTTTACGTGTAAAGTATGGCTGATGAGCTGTATTAACCGTTTGAGTGAATGGACTCGCTTACTATCTTGTCTGTAGAGGATCCGGGATGTTAATCCATAGCCCTTTCGGTTACACTGTTAGATGTTACATTGTCCCAGGGTTAACCACTATAGTGGTGTGTGCTGCTTTGTAGTGTTACTGCATTGTAATAAGAAGTAATATCCCTCATGATCTTTAAGACCGAGGGAAAGGGCCTTGCTTTGGTAGTTACTGATTTTTTTTTTTTGGAGCAGAGGGGAATAAAATTTTGAAAGACAGGCTTTAAGGCCATCTACACTCAACGTACCTGATGTCAGGTAGACTTTTATTGTGAATTTTATTTGTATATTCAACTGGGAGCACTTTGTAGGCATTGCATAAACCACAGATTAGAAACCTGTGGAATTAAGTGCCATGTGGAACTGCTGCTATTTTTAGTTTGTTGTCCTCTCTGTAAACTGTAGCATTAAAACAATCATTATTGTGTTAATAGGCTTGTTAAAACAATTACATGAAACAAATCTAAGCTGCATTTTAGTGAAGGCAGCATTTTTCTCTCAAAGCTAGTGCATTGTGAAATAATGCACCAACTTAATATTTGGACTCTGTATTAGTGTAGTGCAATTGTTAATGTCTTGGCTGTTGATATTTTGTAATTCTTTCTAATAAGGTTCTCTAAATGTTGGTATTCTCTTCAGTTGCCCGTTCTTGAGGCTATTGTATATTTTTTTCATGTTGGAGTACTTGTAAATAATTGTCTAGTGTAAGTGTTCAGGTTGTTCTTCATTGTTAATGTACATAAGTTTGATCGTGCTTATAGTATACTATAAGGAAACTGCAGTCTGAGATGCAAGCAAAGCTCAACTATTCAGTTTTAAGTTCCAAAATGAACAGAATGTGGCTGTCAGAACCTGTACTGTTGTTGGACCTAGGCTGACAGATGTTGCTAAATACTAGAACTATTCTAATTACTGGCTTGTCTCTTCATTAATTTTAGTTTAAACAAAGTTTCCCATTTGTGCTCTGTTTGTTCTTACTAGTGTTCAATTTGAATATTAAAGTTAAAAGTTTTGTTTAATATTGTCTAACATTTACTTAACTCTAGTCGTGGAAATAAAATATTGAGTCAGGAGTATACTATGGCAAGTCCTGATTAGATCTGCTTCCTGCTCCTGCGTTAGGCTTGTGGTTCCTTCTCACGAGAGTGGGACTGAGATAACATACTGATAGTTACGTTGGGAAAGAAGTCCTACAGTCTGTGCTTTAGTATCTATGGCAGTCTGTCTCTACAGCTTCAGAAATATGTTGGCAGGATGAAGCCCCTGGAAGATCTGAAGTGGAACCCATGACTGAAGATGGAGGACTAGATGAAACTGTGATGAAAAATCTGGGGTCCAAGGTAAGGAGAACTCATGAATTGCCAAGAATGGGAAGAGAACAGTGGGAGGAATTGGAGTAGGGAACACAGTAACAGCGTGTTCTGTGGCATAGATGCAAAATATTTATGCATTTGTATTCTACCTCCCATGAAAAAGAGAGATACAGGAAAATTAATAAAGGCTTAATAGATTAGTCTATTAGTGAAGCTTTTACATTGCTGTATTAAAGAGTCGCTGGTGACTGTCAGAGAAGCTATATGTGAGTTGAATGGGTGATCATAAAATTTAACTTTGCAGTTAGAAAATGAAAACTGCTAAGTATTTTTACTTTTTATTTGTAAGAGGTCTCAGTGCTTTTTATGTATGACAGTGAAATTGAGAGACCTGGTTTAGGTAACTTTATTCTCTGAATATGCAGTTGACATCAGTAAAAATTAATAGACAGATACCTTGAAGTTTTTACTCTATGATAGTCCTGTCTTGTTTGTTGAGAGAACTGAAAATACCTCGTATGGTTTTTGTTCATCTATGCTAAATGAGGCCTCTCTTAAAGCATACTTCTGAACAGCCATAAATATCAGTTGGGGGGGATAAACAAACTTAGTAAGCCTTTCTTCCCCTATCGTGTAAATAAATTTGATAATAATTATGTGCTCTTGCATCACTCATTTTCAGAGGCTTGTAACAACAGTGCAGGTGTTGCTGCACAAGTAAGCCATACACAGTAGCTATGTAGCCCTGTAGAGGTGTACTCTTCGCTGGGTAAAATACTGTCGGAATGGACAGGCCCAAAGAGTGGGGGTGAATGGAGTTAAATCCAGTTGGCAGCTGGTCACAAGTGGTGATCCCCAGGGCTCAGTATTGGAGCCAGCCCTGTTTAAGATCTTTATCAATGATCTGGACGAAGGGATCGAGTGCACCCTTAGGAAGTTTGCAGATGACGCCAAGTTGTGCAGGAGTGTTGATCTGTTTGTGGGCAGGAAGGCTCTACAGAGGGACCCGGACAGGCCTCATCGATGGGCTGAGGGCAATGGCATGAGGTTCAACAAGGCTCAGTGCTGGGTCCTGCACTTAGGTCATAACAATCCCACAGAACGCTGCAGGCTTGGTAAAGAGTGTCTGGAAAGCTGCCTGGTGGAAAAGGACCCAGGAGTGGTGTTCAACAGCTGGCTGGAGATGAGCCAGCAGCGTGCCCAGGTGGCCGAGAAGGCCAACAGCATCCTGGCTTGTACCAGAAATAGCGTGGCCAGCAGGGCCAGGGAAGAGATGTCTCCCTGGTGAGGCTACACCTTGAATACTGTGTTCAGTTTTGGGCCCCTCACTGCAAGGACATTGAGGTGCTGGAGCAGGTCCAAAGATGGGCAACGAAGCTGGTGCAGGGTCTGGAGCACAAGTCTTACGAGGAGCAGCTGAGGGAACTGGGGTTGCTCAGCCTGGAGAAAAGGAGGCTGAGGGGTATTGCTCTCTACGACCACCTGAAAGGATATTGTAGCGAGGTGGGTGTCGGTCTCTTCTCTCAAGTAACAAGTGACAGGACAAGAAGAAATGGCTTCATTCATGTTGGACCAGGGGAGGTTTAGATTGGATATTGGGAAAATCTTCACCAAAAGGGTTGCCAAGCATTGAACAGGGAAGTGGTTGAGTCACCATCCCTGGAGGTATTTAAAAGATGTGCAGATGTGGTGCTTAGGGACATGGTTTAGTGGTGGAGTTGAGTGTTAGGTTAAAGTTAGACTTAACGATCTTAAGGGCCTTTTCCAACCTAAACTATTCTGTTCCATTGCTGGTTGCATGTTTTATATCTGCTGTGGAAAGGATGCCCAGCCTAAACCATGCAACTGAAGTAGCTTTGGATGTTTTAACTTTCTCCTGTGTGCCAAGGAGAATGTTCAGAAAGGAGCTTCAGCATTTTTAAGTAGCTTATGGGAGTAGTAAGACTGTTGAAATTTTATCTCAAGTTTTCTTAAACTTTCCAATAGTGAGCCTGAGAATCATGGTCCTAACAGTGGCCAGTGGGAAGAGGCAGAGAATTTGGAAAATGTGTGTTAATGCTTCCCATGAATACTCCCAGTGTCCAGTGATTCATGATTCAGATGCTTGCTGCGTGAGAAGTGGTGTCTATTTTTACTGACGTAGAAGGGTTCTTTTTTGCTAAAAACAATCTTACAGTAATTTTGGTAGCTTATAAATTTATTGCAAAAACAACATTTGGGCAAAACTTGTATGTAGTTAAGCAAGCCACCTTTTCAGGTGGAAGAAGTGGCTACTAGCCTCTTGCAAAATATAGGAAGTCAGATGTCAGTTGAAGAAGTTCTGCCAAGCATGGTTAACAAGATGAACTTCAGCAGTTTAAGAGGAAAGCTTTATCTCAATTTAAGAAACAAGCATTAGAGTTGGGTGGCAAATGTGTTACACAAAATAGCGACATTTAATTGTTTAACCATTTTTTCTTGTGAATTCATCTAGCTTAATTTACCAATACAGAGGTAGCACGGTACCGTAACTTTCGATCAGAGTACCTGACTTCTTGAAGAACTACATAGAAAGAGAACCTAAAAATAACTGAAAGCAGGTATTTCATAGCCCTGCTGCCTCTAGATGTTTGTCTGCTTCTTTGTCTTCTGCCTTGGATTACAGACACTGGATTAATATTAAATCTTCTGATGATACATTACTGGACAAACTACCTGTCTAGTCTTGCTTAGTATTGCTGCATCTTATGCCCACTGAGTGGGTGGTGTGGTGGACTAAAGCTCTTACAGAATTAGTTTCCTGTAGAGACATGACACCACTTAACACTGACAAATGCTGCTTTCCAAAACAGTATTTTGAAATTGTTCCCTCTAAATGATTTATTTGTGGATGAATTGTCTTCCATTTGACTGTACAAAACTAGTTCTTGTTGGAAACAAACAAAACAAGTATTAATCCCTCCAAATTCTTAATGAAAATTTAAAGTATCAAGGATTGATTCACTTTTTGGATAATCTTGTGAATCTAACCTCTCCATGTAATACCTTAGAAATATTGATGGTCCTTAGTTTTCCATTGTTTTGCAGGCTAAACCATTATAATCAAATAATAAATCCTATATTTAAAAAAATATTTTGAGTCACATATGGTATTCAAATAGTATGTGAAATTCTATTTATGCCGTTAGTATCAAAACAAAATTGGATTTACTTGGAGAATATCTTTTTCCATAAAACATTGCTGTGATAGTCATGCATGCTACCGGTCCATTATAACCACGAAGGTCAATAAATGCTTGAGGAGTATGTTTGTAAAGAGAAGGTAGCCGCTTCCACTTGGAAACTGTAACATAACTAGGAATTGTTCTACTTTCACAGATTGCGTACCAAACTCAGCAGTTTTTGACATGAGTTCACCCTGGGTTAACCAGCTAGAATAACTAAGGTCATCTCAGTTGGTTGGGTTTTTTTTTGTTTGTTTTTTTTGTTTTTTGATAGCATTTGTCAAGGGTGGTGGTATGTGGTGGTTGTTTCGATTTTGTGGTTTTTTTTGTTTTTTGGTGTGTTGGTTGGTTGGGTTTTTTGCAGTTTCCAAGTGTCATAGAATCATCGAATGGTTTGTGTTAGAAGGGACCTTTAAAGATCATCTGGTCCAGCCCCCCTGCAATGAGTAGGGACATCTTCAACCAGATCAGGCTGCTCAGAGCCCTGTCCAACCTGACCTTGTCCTTATCTGCTCACTAATTTCCTGCTCCCCCTCCCTCCTCGCCCCATACAAGCTGTTGATTACCACAGACCTAATAACATGTTTTCTTTTAGTTGGGATGGATCTGAATTAGTAAGATGTAGAACCTGAAAAACTTATTGACTACTTGGCTTTTTTATGAATTTATAGACAAGCTTTACCTCCACCTAGAAATGGCAGTAGGCGCTGCTTGTATATTTGAAAATAGGATTTCAATTTCATAGATTGCATTACTTCAGCCTATATTTAAAAGCTTTATGAATAAAAGTACACTTGGTCACCCTATTCTTGCTGAACTAGGGAAAAAAAAAAGCACCATGCATTGTTTGACCCCCTACCAAAAGCTGACCAGCTTGGCCTTGTATTTAATGTGTTTTGTAGTCTCCAGCAACACCTGCTGGACAAAATAGTCAACTGTACACTAAATTTTTCTCTTTAAAGTGCTTGTGTGCTAGTATGACACTCGGCCCTGGATCTTAGAGATCCTTATCTTGTTCAGCAGTAGCGACTGAGCATTCTTGCCAGCAGCAGCTCAGGTAAGTGTCAACTTTTATTTTTTTTCATCCACACCCACCCCCTCAGTTCTGTGGGCTTGGAAAAGGCGTCTTCATGATTTCACCATATATGTGATTCAGTATATAACATATATGCACGCTTAATAAATCTGTGCATGTGTGCTACCAACAAATATCACTGCTCAAGCTGTGCTTGAGGGCTCAGGTCTAAAGCAATGGCCAGCAAGAGTCAAAAGCAGGGCTGTTCCCTGCCTGAACTTCACCTTTTTTTTGTGAACAGTGGAAACCACCTGAGAGAGAGCCGCAAGCATCCCGGGTTGGAGGCTGCTGAGCTGACACATAGGTTCTTGTCTCAAGAAACACTGCAGAGAGAAAGCAGGAAGAAGCAGCAACTGGGCAAGACAGCACATGGGAAATTAAGGTCCCACTTCTGTTTAAACAGTTGGAATTGGATGAAGATGCTAT